CCTCCCGCCCTGATCCCAAGAGGTTTTCTTAATCCTAGAAGGCACCAGGACAAAGCACCAGTCCTGCTGCTTCCCCCGATCCTCCGCCAGGAAACAAAATATCCTGCCCTGCACAGGTAGCTTTCTTTGCTGGAATTCCAGTTCTCATTGGGCCCGGTGAAGAGCAAAGAATTCCAGTATGGTTCCCCTTTTAGGGAAAATGGAAATCTGAAGTTTAATGTGCAGTTTTCTCAAACTCATCAAAGAAGATGACACGGTGCGTGGGCTCATTAGCTCATTACCGTAAATTAAACTCTGCGAGCTCTCAAAACTGCCCTGCCCTCTGTCCGCCCGCGCCCCTCTCCCATCAGCTGGTGCTGGGCATCACGACAGACTGCCGATTTCATAGTCAGCTGTGCGTACACCTTGGTGGGGTGATAGGAGGGGGTCAGTTTTGTGGAAAGTAATGATTTCTCAGTGTTCCAAATGTGTAAATAAGGGTCATTAGATACAACTGTTCTTCAAGTTGCTATTGAATTAAATTAAGAAACTCTGCTGGTATACTTTGTATACTTTGTAGTGATTTAAATCTATAGCCGTGCATTGAGAGAAGTTTAGGCATAATTTAGAGTTGGTCAGATATGAGTTTTATTCCCAGTATTACAACTTAATGGCTGTGACCTCAGGCAATTTATTTAAACCTCTCAGAGAAATCTCATTTTCCTCACCTATAAAATAGGGTTATTAATGCCTAACTCATTAAGAATGAAATTAGATAATGCTCTTAAGTGTTGAGCACAGTCTCTGGCCAGTAATAAAGGCTCAATATATGATAGCTGTAAAATTGCATCTGTGGTACACAGTTTTTTTAAAAAATGGAATGGATTCCTTTTTAAATAATGTAATTTTTACTCTTACATGTATTGTAAATTCCTTTCCTAAAACCAGTGCAAAATTTTGCAATTAATTTCCTAAAGTTTTACTCTTCAGAAATAACCACTGAAACATCTCACACTTGTGAAACAGAGCAAAACAAATACTTCATTCTGTAATGTTTTCCTTGGAGAGAGGGTGTGTAGGGCCTCACTTACTGAGATTAAAAAGTCCTGCCCAGACCAATAAAGGAAATTGGAATTGTTTATTTGGGAAAACTCAGATAACTAAGGGCTGTTTCAGTTACATAATGAAATCAAAGCTGTGTAACATTGTTTATGCGTGGCCAGCTGCTATGTGGGAGTTCTTATAGCTGACTTCCCCTGCAGACCTTGTCACCCTGCAAACCTGGTCTTGAGGTTTGGGAACCAAGAAGTTATGACTCAGACAAAGTGGTTAAAACAATTTGGGGTCAGATGGCTGGGCTCAGGCCTTAGCTCTGTCAGTTTGTAGCAGAATGTAATGGTATGACCACCGGAGACTGTTACAAAGAGGCGGGGAGAGAATCTGTGGAACCGAAAGCATTCAGCACAGACGCTGGCACAGAGCACTCAGCAGTGGGTCGAGGTGGCCATCCGGGCACAGTAAAACGAGCCACAGACTTACAGACTCGAAGAACAGGAAGGGGCTATGCCTGGCATTGTCCAGCGTGCCCTCCCCCCACCCCCCACTTCACAGATGAATTGAGGCCTGGAGAGAATTAAGGACTTTGGTGCAGGATCTCTGCTACTTAGCAGGGGAGCTGGAAGTCAGACCCAGGGATGCTGACTGTTAGTCTGTCTGCTCTCCCGTGTGTACTGGTGCTTCCAGAATATAAATGTGCTTATAAAGACTCCGCCATTTACATATGCCATTCACCCACAAAAACATGCCCAAAACATTTTTTTCTAAATATGTCTTTATTGATTTCAGAGAGAGGAAGGGAGAGGGAGAGAGAGAGAGAGAGAAACATGAATGATGAGAGACAGTCATTGATCGGCTGCCTCCTGCATGCCCCCTGCTGGGGATCGAGCCCGAAACCCTGGCATGTGCCCTGACTGGGAATCGAACTGTGATCTCCTGGATCACATAGGTCGATGCTCAACCGCTGAGGCACCCCAGCTAGGCCCAAAATATTTAAAAAAAAAAAATGGAATGCTATTAAGAAAATTCAGTGTATCATTCTAAAGAAATCAATGATTTTGCTCCAGGTGGCTGTCACTGATGTTTTATTGGGTGCTAAGCGCTGGCCCCCTTCATTCCTCTCTGCCAGTCTACAGCCCCTATTTCTTAGTGTTGTGCTGTGCTCGCATATCACCCTGACCTGAGCAGACAGGGTGACCTCTGTTTCCCTTGCCAGGATACCGGGCTACTGTAACCAGATAGTGCAGTATCGAAGGGTCCGAGGCACGTGCAGCGTGGCTCCTGCAGAGGGAGTCCCCTGCTCAGGCTGGCCCCTCGGGAAGATTCCAGCTCTCCTTTGTTCCCGAGGGGGCTCTTCTCCCAGCGCCTCCCCAGAGAGCCTGATCTGTAGGTTCTTCTGTCTTTGTTTCATAGCTTCTGGCCACCCGCACTGCTTCTTCTGCCACCTTGAGCTCGGCTCTGACCGGGAAGTGCCTTCCAGATTTGCCAGCCACGTGGACGTGGAGTTCAGCATGCCCACAACTTCTGCCTCCAAAGCCGCTGTGCGGTCCATCTCTGTGGAGGACAAGACCGGCGTCAGGAAGTGGGTCAATTATTCCGCACACTACAGCTACCAGGTAGCCTGGCGCGCCCCTGGCCCGTGTCCCCAAGTCCGTTTGCTCAGCCCCGAGCCCTCCCCGCTCTCTCCTTGCAGCGGTGCCTGCCTGGGTGCGAAGTGCGCTCCCACCGCCCGGGAGGCGGCTCGCCGCGAGTCTGCCCGCGTAAAGGAATAGCCTCTATTCCCGGGCAAGGGAACGGGGGAAATGATGTCCCTCGGGTCGCCATACACAACATAAAGGAGAGAATGGGGTAACGGGATTGTTACCACTCATTCATAATGTAACTTATGTCGCAGGGCAGTGAGTTTGGAGCTGGGAGTGTCAGGAAAGTGCTGACCCAAAGCGTGCATCTCAGCTGCAGGAGCCGGTGACGCGTCTGAGTAAAGTCAGGACCTATTTGACCTGGTCACTGGGCTGTTATGGGGCAGAACTCAAAAGCCACACCGGCTTCTGGAGTCGTGACGGGGCCGGGTTGTGCAGGGGGAAACCAAGCGGGGGTGTTCTGACATGAGTCTGATTCTACCCTGAGGAGCCAGCGATCCCGTAGCAGCGCATTAATGCCAAAGGTGGGAAATGGGGTTGCTGGAGGACAGTTTTGCAAAGTGGCTTAATAATTCTCTATTCATAATAATATCCTTAGAGTGTATGGCGATTTAGTGTGTTTTAATTGCTCCCTTAGTTGTGTGGTCTGCGAAAAAGAACAAAAGCCCCATCTTGTGGCCAGAGAACAAACAGCGCTTTCCTGAGACGACCCTCGTTCAGTGATTTTCAACCTGGTTTTGTCTCGTGGCACACGTAAACTAATTACTAAAATCCTGCGGCACACCAGGAAACACATTTTTTGCTGCTCTGACAAAAGTCAGTGTTTTTTGTGTGGCTGTTGTCTTTTTTTATTTTATTTGACAATCTAAGGGAAAAGAGGCCAGTGCCCTGATGAGATAGTCAGGTGTTGCATGTTGTAAACATTCTTGCAGCTCACCCATGGAAACGTCGCTGCTCTAGTCAACCGCTCTGTCTTGAATTTCCCCCCTCGTCATAAATATCCACATTGGTGTGGAGGGGAGCAGGTTTAACTACGAAACTCCCCAGCTTGAAGGATTCCCTGCCTGACTTACCAAGGCTCCAGCTAAAGTGTGTCACTTTCAAGGCAAGATTAAGTTCCGATTCCTTGATAGTTACAGCCACAGTGTTCTGCAGACGATATGGGTAGAACTGTAAGCACGTTTATCAGCTTGGAAACTTTTTTTTTTTTAAGAGATAAAATGAGAGTGTAAACAGCCAGTTGCAAAGGCATTCATTCATCTGTAAACCGTTGTGGTTGCCTGCTGCATGCCTACATTACTGGGGTACAGCAGTGAATGGGGCCAGCCCTGCGGAGCCCGTGGTGTGATGTGCCAGGTACAGTGGGAGCATGCACAGGGGAGCGCCTCGCTCCCTAGAGTCAAGAATAGCTTCACGGAAGAGATGGCCTTTGAGCAACTGTGCGAGGCAGAGAATAAGAATTTGCCAGGTGCCCCGTGGGGGAGAGGGAACTCCAGACCACAGGGCCAGGGGCTCGGGCGTGGCTGAAACCCAAAGCGTGACAAAATTACCAGGAATCCCAAAGAACCTAATTCTAGGAAGATATTCTGTTTTGGTTGATTTATTTCTTGGGATGTTTTCCTCTTCTGATATTTCTCCCCAACTTCTATTCTTGGCAGGTGGAGATTGAGCAGAAGAAGAGTTTGAAGCCTGACTTTGAAGGAGATGAAGTAGAAAACCCCAAGGAGTGTGGGGTCCAGTGATAAAGCCCTGCGGAGGGGGCCCTGACCCGAGTCCCCATAGGATGTCTTCCTGAATAGCTCAAGTTCAAGTCAGTACCTACCGTGGCTACTCCCTGTGGGCAAAGGTGGATTGGACCCCCCTGTCTGTAGTTGCCTATGTCTGAACGGGAAACCCTGAGGTGGTGGCTTTGGAGGGGCTCTGGCACTGCCCGAAGCACCTGGGCCGCCTGACTTTCGGAGCTTGTGGATGGGGCCTCCTCCAGGCTCCGCTTGTCTCCCAGCACCTGGGTGCGGTCTGTCGTGACTGGGAGAGTCGGGGAAGAACCTCCCCATGGGTGTCGGCATGATTTCCTTCCGATGTTCTTCTGTCATTTACCTGCATTTCTGGAAAACACAGCATTGAGAAGTTAGTTCATTGAGGACCCATCTCTGACAGTCCCCCTAGAAAAGGTACAAAACAGATTTACTCGTTAGGTTTCCCAGTCCTTTTGTAGGTGTCTCCTTTCTTTAAATATGAACACTATGCAACAGAGGTTTTCGAGACATTTCCCGTCTGGTTCTAGACTGTTTTGATGGAAACGCTTTTTCCATCTCTCTAAGGTTTCAGTCACAGGGTTCACCGCCCTGAGTCACCGTAGACAATGGGAAGAAAGGCACAGTCAGATACTTCTTTATTCTGTGACTAGCCCCACGTTCTGCAGAGGGTGGCTGTTGAAGGGAAAGCAAAATTGAGTTTATTTTTCTTCATTCTGGGGAAAAGGGACATTCATTGTAAAGTTATATTCAATTCAGGAGACAGCTTCAAGCTCTGTGAATTCCCAAATTCACACTGAAAAATGCAGGCCATTCCTGATTCCTGAAACAAATGGATCTATATATGATACCTCAGGCACTTGTAGGGGCACTTGGGAGCTCTTTTTATACCTCGTAGCCAATACATAGCGCATGTCTCTGTAACTCAGACTTTTCAGGAAATGTATGCTGAAAAAATCGTTTAAAAGCTGTTTCAAAACTAAGCTTGTATGAGCTTTTCCCAGAAATTCAGAGTTTGATAATCACAGTATTGTAATAGATCTAACAGGCAGAGACTCTAAGGTAGAGATGGCGGGAGAGCCATATTTTTTTAACATGGGGATAATTATTAAATCCTGATGAGAAGAATCTGGGACACTCAATCTTCTTTCCCTCCATCCATTCCCTGCTCACATTCTGTACCTCTGCTTCTTATTTGTACATTGGAGTTTTCTTACCACATAAGAAACTACATCAGCCATCCCAAAGGGGATACCTGCTCGACAATTGAAAGGCAGCTTCCGTCTGCCTTTCTGCATCTCCACGAAGAACAGAATAGGGGGACAGAGAGCATGCTTATCAGATTTGCAGATGACACAGACATAGGCATACGTCCAGTCTGCTGACTGGCGGATTCAGGATTGATTTATTCAGTGAGTACTCATTGAATTCTAACTATGTACTGACACTAGCTATAGAAACTATTATACTTTTTTGAAATACCTGAGCATAAGACTGAAACTAAAAAGATGAAATTGAATAGGCATTAATGGGAAGCTATATTTTGAGTTTTCTTAAATGCAGCCCTCTAAGTATAGCATGGTGTGTGTGTGTGTGTGTGTGTGTGTGTGTGTTGATGGGAAGGGTGTTGGAAAGTCCTAGTTTCACAGCAGTTCATGTAGAAATGTTTTCTATGGAAATAGGAGCTCAGTTGTGAATCAGGAGTATATCGCAGCTATTCACAAAGCTATGCCATTCACCCTGTGGTAACAGGTGCCCAGGGGGCCCTGCATGCTGCACTTACTGGTAGGTCCACATCTGGATGGACGGTTGGGTTCAATTCTAGGTACCATATTTTAAGAGACACATTAATAAATGGATTGTGTCCAGAGGCAGGTGGTCAGGGCTGGGAAGGGTCTGATTATAGAAGGAACAGGGGGATAGGTCCCCCGAAGAGCAGAAGGCTGGAAAGGGAGTGAAGAAAAGGAGGAAATTACATAGTAGCTGCATTGAAATTTCTGTTGAGCTATAAAAAGAGAGTGGACTTAGACTTACTTTATGTAGCTTCAAAGGGCAAACATAGGAACAAAGGGGAACTTTATACATGGCAGATATTTGCTTCAATGTAAGTAGAGTTTTCTAATAAGAGTTGTTTTAAAAAGTAAACGGACTCGGGTAGTAAAATTTCCTGTTGCTGCAAAGGCCCAAACAAAGGTTAAAATAACGGTCTATCCCAGATGCTCTGAAAGGGACTCTTCCGTTGGGTTTGAGCTGGAAGACTACCAAGATCCCTTCTGCGTATAGGCTTAGTCTCAGTAGTCTTAGTCTCTCTAACTCTAGTTGTTTTTCTTTGGTGAGTGGTTTTTCATGCTCTGAAATATGGTGGGGTCCCCCAGAGAGCGTTGTCAAGCGAGGGCTCCTAGCATTTCCCTTCCCCTCTTCGTAGGAAAGGCACATGAGACTCCCCAGGGAAACATCCAGATGAGTTGAAGAGCTGGCAAAGTGAAGGTCATTCTGGCACCTTCCCTGCCCAAGGCGAGCATCCACACACCCTCTCAGGTCTCTGCCTCCCCTCTTAGCATCGCGTGTGTATCGCCTGCTGGGCCTTTGTCCCCACTTTGTTATTTCTCATTGCCGCCTCCGTGCTTTCACCTGGGCACCAAGAGCTGGGAAAGTCCCTTCCGCACTGTCACAATGTTACAGGACAGTAAGAAGCGAGGAAATCCCAGGGCAGGAGGACTAGGGAAACTGAGGCAGGAAAGTTCAAGCAGGGCCAGACTGTGGGCAATTTGCAGCTCGCCTGCAAATAACAAGCCATTGTCCTCCCCAGCCAAGGACACTTGAGAGCAAATGGTTAAAAGCCTCCCCCGGGAGAGAATGCAGGGACGGAGGGGGAAGGGGGAAGGGAAAACTCCCTAAACAGAGAGGCCGGCAGTCTCAAGGTTTGGCAAGATAAACTTGCCAGGTGCTTCTCATGAGTTCTGGGAAGGCCACAACAGAGTAAAAAAGGGACCTTGAGAATTAATCTGTACCAAAATATTCGGCGGAGGAATTCTGAGCCCTATAGACAGGAGGTATATAACGCCTCGGACCCCCACCCAACTCCCTCTTCAGGTTAGGGAGAGCCCGTCTGTGCTTCATAAGCCAGATGATTAGATTTGCTTGCCACTTTGATAAATGCACAGGCTTTAATTGCTTTAATAAGTTGGCTTCATCACAATGCAGTCATCTGGAGTTTTCTCATTTAAATCCATTTATATGAGAAGACAGGAATCGAGGTTGGGGACAGCCCTCTCCCTCTGACTCAGGCGGGCTCTCCAGTAACACCTCTTTGGGGTCTGTGAGAGGCGCCTCTAACAGTTAGAGTCAGCAAGCAAATTATTATTAATTTTTTAAAACCTACCACCTTGATTTCATCCAATTTGTTTTCTGTCTACTGTTTGGGGGAAACTGATGATGGGTAGCATTTAGAGGGTTGGGGAGTATAATATTGTACATTTCCAGACCAAGTGTTTTGTTAATCACCTACACAGAAAACACAGTTGGGCAAATTACCTTTTTGATATGCCGGTTCTAAATTTGTCATCTGGACCTGGATTTTGTGGATGTGGTCCCAAATAATTCTGTCTATGTTATCAATAATGTAAGAATATTAAAAGTGAATTCATTTTACCAATACATAGTGTTACTGTTAGACATAAATTAGATGCTACATACCAAGAGCTGTGCTTTCTTTGGAGTCTAGTGTGTTGCTTTGTGATCTTATAGTAAGAGGGTAGAAATGTACTCATGATATGTCAGACAAGAGAATGTGAGGTATTTCATGGGGGGCATTAATCCCCTCACCACTCTTATAAATATAGTACTAGCTACTCCTTATCAACATTTTGCCTTTCACTTATGTTATCTGGACAGTTATAATTTTTATCCCCCCCCTCCCCCCGCCCCACCTTCCAGCATTATTGGCAGGCTCAGAACCCTTGAGAATATTTTTTTTTTATGTAAAATATTTCTTATTTGAAATGAGAGTAATTTCTACTCAAATCCAGTGAGTGGGTGAAGGCAGGGGTTTATTTCCCTAGAAATTTACATTCCCAAGGAATGTATCTTAACCTTTGTTTCCAGTACTTAGCACAAAGCTCAAAATATAATAGTTTCAGCCACCTCAAATCCTTGCCGATGAGACAAACATATATTAATGGAAAAAAGGGAAGTTATTAGGTATTCAAAAAGTGTTTGCTGGATGAACACTGACCCCGAGACTCTACTTAACTCTTATCAAATACTTACATGAAAGCAAGCCAGCATGCTTTGTTTCCCGGGGGACTGAATAATTTTCCTTCCCTTCTTTTCCTGCCTCTACTGTCAGCTAATGAACATTGTCAGCACTTAAACACTTAATGTGCAGCTGAATTTAAACTACAATGTACCTTAATCATATTGAAAAAACATTGTTGTGCTCAAAGATATAGCCCATGGTCAAGACTACTGATTCAGCTTTGTTCCCGTGAGTCAGACAGATCTGTGAGCCTGAGCCTCGCCCATCCGAATGGTCAGTGGGAGAAGAAGACATCTGATAGATGACACAGCCAGCCGTGGGGTGCTAGGTGTTTCCCCAACAGTAGCCGCTGGCCAAGGTTACTGTGTATTTGTTTCGCCGTAGTAAGGTGGAGGTCTGAGATAGTAAGGCCGAAACCTGTGAAATGAGATCATGATTTCAGAGCTGCTTTACGTCTCATCCTAAGTTTAGTGGCAGGAAAGCAGAGAATGATCTGAAATGTTTTCTTACAGCCTTGGGAATATTAAACTGATCTGAGTCGGAAGCACTGCCATCCAGCCTACTCTTAGAAATTCTCTCTGTTGGGAATGGTAGCTTTAGCTCTTCTACAAAGGATGGTGTAAGTTAATTCTAGCACCATCCGAGGGTTTAGGACATGTGAAGAATGCAATTTAACAGGAACTTGAAGGGAAACTGACCCCAAAAAAAGTAAATCCACATCAACTGTCCTCTAGGAAACAAATCATCTCTAACAGTTCACTCCCAAGGCCCATCCAAACCATGGCAGCGCTTTATATAAATCAGGCACGGCATTTTCCCTGAGCTCGAAAGACGTTTTCTAAACATCAGCAAGAACTAAGTGCCAAGTCCCTACATATCACCATTCCTTCATTTCTTCATTATGCTCTTTGGAAATGAAACTTGTTTTGGATATCCTGACTCATATTTATATGTTTAAGGAATTAAAAGTGAATGAGATGTATAAGGCAGACATAAACATAGAAAATAGCTGTGTGTGTCAGTAATCTTTTCCCATGTATTAGCTAAAGCAGGAATGCGGAATTTTTGCATTTCTTCTGGTGTGCCTTAGCAAATCCGATTGAGAGTCTAGTCCTTGGTTTTTGTTTTGACAATTGGGGGGGGGAGGGGATCTCTCTGAATTTCCAATTCCTGGCCTGTAAAGAAACTATCCATAGTAATAAGTTTGGTAGGGCCTGGAGAGCGGCAGATAACAATCGCATGTAATGAAAAGCTATAAAAGAGCAGACTCCAAAAAGCAGACTTGCGATATGAAAAGATACTGCTATTGAACATGAGTGGGAATAGAGAGATGAGAAATACGGCGCTGGCCCTCAAACCTCAAAATACCTGAACTGGAGGCTGGCCCTTAAAAGTAAGGGGCTCTAGGAAAATTAACGGGCTGCATAGCAGGGATGAACAGTAGAATTAATTCAGTTCAACGAGTATTTATCACGTGTGTACCCTGGCCAAGGTGCTGAGCCAGCTTAGCCCCCCTAAAGGGAGCTACGGCCAGACACTAGGACACTGAGGATTTTGGTGTAAACTCATTGGCAGGATTAAAATTGGAGTTTCTGTGAATCTTAAAGGACATAGTCGTGGAGACAATCACCATGTTCAGTGACTTGCGATTTTCCCAATTGGACTTCAGTAACCTCAGCTAAGAAAGTGAGGATGCTGGACTCGTTCCCTCAGGTCCTTTCCAGTTTTACGGATTATTTTACAAAATACCCTTTGGTGCCATTGTCAGTGATACTTCATGTCAACAGGACTCTTCATATAGTCTTAAGAACCAAGAAATTTAAAATTTGAAGATTGGGAAAATCAGCTGGCCCATCTTTTTCCTTTTCATGTCTCAACTCTCTACCATCTGCTCAGACATCTGCCCAGGAACCCTGCAATCCTCTGTTTTGTAGTGGCCTTTAAAAAAACAGATAAATATGGGAGAGCCAAAGGATGGTGAAGGTGGATTGGGATGCTGCTCTGAACTGGAATCGCCCCGCACAGCAGGGGGTGAGTTTGCAGAGCAGAGAGATCTCCAAAGCAGATGTTGGATTTGGGCACTACTTAGAGTCGAGGAGGTCTGCCCCTCCAAGGTACTGAGGCACGTTAGGACAATCAAGGGTTCACATAGGTGTGTCCTCTTATAGAAAAGATGCAGACATCGAGGGAGTAAGCGTGCTGGGACTGTCGTCACACAGTTGTGGCGAAATGAGATGAAAGGGCCAGTCCTCCCTGTCCACGCTGTCTCTTAGTAACATAAAAATGTAGTTGTAAAATTTTTCAAACATGTACAAACTACAAAATAGCATCTCTTCTGTGGTATGTGTTAGTATGATTTTAGTTTCTTGTACTTAGCGTTGGTCAAATGTAATGGTTCCATTCGAACTGGACAGAGCAAGAAATTGCAGCCCCCTCTTCCTCTGATCAAACTGTCGGTGCTAGTTGGGGACACCATCTAGCCACACTGTGACCAGTACCATGTGCTTCAGGATCGCCGACCCCACCTGGATCTGGGGAAACTTGTGCAGATTCTGACAGCAACCTGTTGGATCAAAGTGTTCAAGGGTTTTAAAGCGTGCGGGTGACGGAAGACTGTGAACTCCTCTGACCCTAAGCCGGCTTTCATTCAACCTTTGTGCCCAGCTGCCAAGAGAGCCTGGAGAAAATTTCACTGTGTTCCAGAAATTAAACAGACGGTGTGTTAGCCAGGGAGTGGTAAGAGAGCACCCTCCTCACCCTGCATTTTTGTAATGTCCATAGTGAATTTCAATGTGTCAAGATGGATGGACCCAAGATCCACTGAATGACTCAGCTGATCCAAGGCTTGTATTTTCCTTCATTCATCATCCATCCTTACTTGATGAAACTTTTTGTACTATCGTGATTGATTTTATGTAAAACTGGTTTACTTTAAAAAAAAAAAATGTGCCTATGTAATAAAGTCTACACACTGGCTAACTCTGTAGAGGTAAGATTTTGTTTTTAATTATTCTGCTGATTATCATCTGTAAAACCTTTATTTGAACTATGAAAATGAGCTGTTAATAAAAATTTTTAAGCAACATCTTTCACTGTACAAGATTTAATGAGGTTAGGCGTAATGAAAAATGTTTATTTAAAAAAAGGACCGTACCCAATTAATATGATTAGTGACCATAAGCTGACAAATTTACAAGTGACCTGTTTAATGTTCCTAGTTAAGTTCATCACATATGTAATTTAGTCCGTTCAAGTATATTTATTACATTCCTATTTCATGCCCAATTCTCTGCATGACTCCTTGCCGTGGAGAGAACTCTCTCCTGAACAGAACATACAATTTTATAGTCTGGTCAGTATGAAATCAACTGATATCAGTGACTGATAGCAGGTGCACAAAAAGGGTGATAGCCAGATAAGAGCATAACATTTTATATGTTGGGGATTCTGCAGAAGAGTCTACTCTTTCTCACTACTCTTCCATCCCTATCTGCCCAAAGTCCTCTTGAACAGTTTTGACACCTAATTGCCTAGGTCCCGCATTGTCCCAAGGCTTTAGCCCTCTCAGGTCCTCCTTCCCTTTGGTAGCCAAGTGGAACAACTTAAGTAACTGTGGGGAGCCAAGCTTGCTCCCTAATGTTCCTCAGGATCTGGGGGAGGGCAGTTGAGAATGGTAAGAGGTGAAAATGAGAATTTAAATGTCCTCAGTGTCTCTAAATGCCTCCAGCTTCTCCTTGATTACCTCCCACTAACTCTGCTCTATTTCTCCATGCGGGGCAGCTTTAGGTATCCCTAAATCAGAATAATATCAGTTTATGTCGTGCTTCGACTTTGGGCAACCACTTATTCTAAGTATTTTAGATGCATTATATTATTTAATGAAGGCAGCCCCCTCTCACTTTTCTACAAGGCACTAATAATTCAAGGCTGGTGGTACAACTGATGTTTACTGAGGGTCAGCAATCGGGGAGTATTTACAGCCCCAAACAGGAAAGAATCTAAAACTGAATATCAGACATCCTTGCTCCTAAAGTTCATTCCCCATCCTCCACGGAGGGAACCTTCATGAAGCACCTTTCTCCCTTGGCTCTGCCCTGAGTAATGGAGCCAAGTCCTTAGGTCCCCAAAGTACTATCTGTCTGACTGCCAAGAGGAAACTGAAAGCTTTTCTCAAAGTCCCATGTTAAGTGGGGATTAAGTTCTAAAGTCAACACTCTTGAAAATCACTTAAATTGCCCATAAAATAAAGTAGACTAAGGCATAAGTCTTCTTTAATAGAAGTTTCCCTGTGACCCTACATGAATTTTTCAATTTCTTCGCTGAGGATACCGACAGAGTCATCACCGCCCAGAATCCCAGCCACCTGAGTAATGGGTTCCAGCTCGTGGCCATATGCGCCCCACGATTCTCCCGAGCTCTCCCCGCGTGAACTGACTGTTCCAGGCGTGACCGTATCCTTCATCTGCCTCGCGGACCCACTGAGTGCGAGGGCAGATTAAATAACTTGAATGGAAGCGTGATGAGTCTTCACTTCACACGATTATGCAAAGCGAATTTTAGTTCCACTCCATTGCATCCTGTCGTGGGCCCTCACCCCATCTTTCCAAACCAAAAAGAAGTCTGTCTTAGATCTTCAAGAAGAACTTGCATAAACTCACAGTTTTTCTTTAGAGGCCTCAAAAGTTACAGATAATATCTTCAGGTGGAGCTGATGGCAACATGCCTCTGCTTCACTTTCCCAACAGTCTGGTGAGCAGAAGGGAACAGGATGAAGTCTAGTCTCCACCGGTCAAGAGCAAACCCCGGGGCTTAGGACATTTTGTCTCTTCTCTCACCTCCATCTCCGTCTTCCTTGCCTCCCTTCTCGTCTTTCCACTAACAGGCATGAGGTCCTGAGAGCCTTGACTGATCTGGTGGCAGCGGCCGAGAATGGGACGTGTCTCAGAGACTGAACAGTTTCCAATTATTTCTTCCCATGTCGGACTCTAGAACAAACCGCCATTGCGTATCTCATCTGCTGCCTTTAGCACTTGTGAGATGCCTTTCAGTGTTTTATATTTATTAGGTTTGTCCTCATAAAAAGCAAGAGGTGACTAAGAGAACTGGCTTTCTCAGTATGTGGCAAAAGTGCACCCAAAGCAATAGGAGTCAGCAAGCATAAATCGTGCAATTGAACGTGACCAAAATTCAATCTGTATTTTAGTGACATGTTCTTATAATCCCTTGACTGCAATTTCCCCGTCTCCCTCTGAGCCTCTGTAGCCTGGAAAATCTTCTCTCTACTTTTCTTCCAACTCAGAGGTTATCGCTGCCAGAGATGCTTCAAGAACATTTCATTCTGACTCACCAGACTGTACAAAATCTACCCTCTTTTACTGTCTTAATACACATTTAATAAAGGAGTGGCAATTACAATGAAAAAGAAAGGCTCAGTGCAAAGGGGGAAGACACAGGCTCTCAGCAACCAGACTAAATGGTGGGACTAAGGAGAGAGGGTCAACAATTTAGAAATCCCGAACCCGGTGGTGTTTATCCTGCAGGCCTGCATGTGGGCTCTCAGGAACCCAATGGTTAAAAAAATTTTTTTTGCTATTTGTTTTGCTACAAAAATACCAAATAACAAGCTTATAATGCCAATGTATACTCCTGAGATTTTTAAATTATGAATTTAAAGAGTACTCAAGACATCAGGTTCAGGCTCACTTGGGGAAAAGCTAACAAGAAAGTTGATGTGATTTGTCAAGAAAAACATATGCAGGAAATAAAACTGCATAACCAAAGAAAAAGAGCAGAACATAATGACAGTCCACACGCGTGAACACTCACTTCCAAGTGAATGAATAGACCTGGTTTCCACTCAACGTCTGTGACCCCTTCTCACAAAAGTTGCGGGGATGGGATTCCTACTCGCAGGGAGGCAATGCTGCTGTTGGGGGAGTGTTTCCTTTGGCAAGGCATGATCATGTGGGGGCTGGAACTTTGAAGGCAGTGAGCTCCTTATCTCTCAAGCCCAGAACTAAGTTCTTCGTGCTCCGAGACTTCTCTTTATAAACCATTTCATGCTTCAATAATGGCAAAGCCAATTCGCCTTCCCAACCCTGTCCCTTCTCCGGAATCCCACCTCAGGGGAGAGAGACCCAAGTCCAGCGGGGACTGATGTACCCCACATCCTCCAGGTCCTGGCGGTACTATTTTCAAGTCCTTGTTTCTGATTACAAGTGTTTTGAATGTGCCCTGGGAGACGCGGAGACAGTTCCTCCAAAAGTTGGCCTGTTTGAACAATAAACATCATCAGCATAGCAATTTTTTGACCCTGTTACCTGGTCTCTCCTCTTAACACTTTTTATTTTTACTAACTAAACCTAAGAAACTAAATACATATTTCCTACTACACAGCCTCTTACCAGGTACATTTCACGTGCTTAACATTTAACCTATAAATCCCTTTGCCAGCTCAGTGTGCTTCCCTCTGCGTTACCCAACAGTAACACCAATGGCTAGCACTTTGCTATGTGGTTCAAATGTGTTTCTTCATTTAATACAACAACTCTATAAAGTAGATATCGGAGGGTCTAAAAAGAAATTTAATACTTTTCCTTCCGCCTAAGTTTTCCTAGCTAGGCTAGTAATCAAATTAGCAGAGACAGAGCAACAGGAGGAAATCCAAGTTTTTAATACATGCGCAAGGGGAAATCACATAAGCATCAAATTCCAAAGACAGCGAGGCAACATTGGGTGCCTAAGACGTTTTTTGCACAAAGGAGGGGGCAGGCTGAACAGGGTGTTGGATTTCAGAGTGAGAGTGGGCGATTTTCCAGTAGCTGAAGAGTGGAACACGCAGGACAAGGGAATTCTCGCTAGACGCTCAGAAGCAATGGGGTGCAGCGGGTGTGTGGCCCCCGCCCGAAACCCTCTCACATTCCATTCCTCATGCAAGTTAGGCTAAGGCAGACATCCTAAGGTTTCCTTCCTGAAGCAGGTTTTTCTGTCTGAATTTCTTGGGCAGGGAAGGCAGGAGGGTCAAAGATTCTGAGTCTTATTCTTAATAAACAGCTTAAAGTCAGTATCCCCAAAAGTGAACTTCGGGGTGGCAAAACTTTGGTCCTCTTCATTACTGTCCTCACTTTACAGGTAAGAAAGCAGAGCACAAAGAGGCCATTTAAACTGTCCAAGATTCATAAAGCTCATAGGTGGTGGAACATGTCTAACTCCAGAGTCCAAGATCTTATCTATGCTGTTCTACTCTGCCACCTACAGGAAGGTTGTGAGTGGGTCCATTCAGTTCCAGGTGACAGCAATGACATGTCACCAAACTATTTTCTTTAGGAATAATTGCAAATCGATATAGTAGTCATTCAAGAAGCATTTTGAAGCCCCCACTCCGTGTTCTATTAGGTTCAAACGATGCAGAGGTAATTGCGTGGTCTAGCCCTCCAGAAATACTCAATTCAGAAGGTGGTTTTGATAGCAGATGCACCCTCAGGGCCAAGGGCAACGCCTTTGACCATTTGATTTGAGTCACAAAAGGACACCCTGCCCTCTGGGCTGACAAAGGCCCACATCAGAGCGTAGAGAGTATCACAAGTAGATCAAACACTGGGTTTCACTCTGCCTTCTCAGAAGAGTCCTGTCATGCCGTGTAAAAACTACACAACAGAATGTGTGTCCTCGGTTCTATAGTTGGTGCCCAAATTATGAGCTTGTGGAGATACACTGTTTAAAGATAGACATGAGCTTATTTGAAGCCTAGAATTTACAAAAACATAAATGCATATGTAAGGAAATATAGGAGTAGTAACTGAATGTTTTAATATCTCATTCTAATCCCAGTGTCAGTAAAAGGTAGGAAAGGAAGTGAGCCTGCAGGAAACAAGAAAGCTGTGTGCTCTGGGCCGGCAGATCAGTTGGTTAGGGTGTCGTCCCCATACGCCAAGGTTTTGGGTTCGATCCGGGTCAGGGTACATCAAGCAGCAACTAGTGAATGCATAAAGTGGAACAATAAATTGATGTGGTTTCTCTCTCTCTCTCTCTCCCTTCCTCTCTCTAAAATCAACATAAAAATTTTAAAAAAGAAAGATGTGTAAAGG